CGAGCTCGCAGCATGCAAGCGCGGTGACGGAAATCAATGTTCGGCTCGGTGTCCGGGAGGTCCGGGACCACGCGGCCGGCGTGGCCGGCGTCCACGTGTCGACCAGGCGGCTTCCGGCGGACATGCCGCGCGGAGCCGCAGCCGCCGGAGCGCCAAAATGAGAGCCCACCACGTGGCCGACGAACGCTATGACCTGCGACGCGGTGCTGCCTCGCCGCCGCGCCACGCCGCCACGCCACCGACCGCGCCCACTCCCACCACCCACGGGGGCCGAGGCAGGCCGAGAGGACCGACCAACCACCTCCAACGGCGGCAAACGGCCTGCCCCCCTCCGGACCCCTCACCACCGCGCCAGCGACGCGCATGCGCCACGGCGGCGTCGCCAGGACACTACAAGTACACCAGCGTCGTGGGCAAAACGCGCAATCCGCGCGCGGCCGGCACGGCCCCGACAGGGCGGCAGGCAAATGCACTCACCGGCCGGCCCCGCCAACCACGCCCAGGCTGGCCCAGGCCCTCAACGCGGACAAAGTAACAAAATGTGGATCCGAAAACGGAGCCTCTCCCTCCCCTTTACCCATTGCGCCCACGTCGCGATTCACTCGAGGCTCCGCGACGAGCTGCAGGCTGATTCCCTCGTTCCGTCTCTGTCGCACTCATGGGGCCACATAGGAATGAGAGAGACGGAGAGAGGGTATGTCTCGCAGGAAACCGGCGCGCCATGCCATTCGCCGGCAAGGCGAAGCAGCGACACCCACACGCACGACGCGCCTCGCCGGCCATCGGCATCGCCGGCTCCGCCAGCCAGGGCACCGCCCGCCACTGGTGCTGCATCAGCTGGGAGTCTGGGAGCGCGGCGTGGTCGGCGTGGGCAGCCGCCAGGCCCCGCCAGGCCCATCCGGTCCACTTCCACGACAGCAAAACAGAAAACCCGCCCCGCTGGTACTCAAACCCAGGGCAGGGCGCCGCCACCGCCCTGTGCTGGCGGGCTGGTGGCTTGGCAGGACGTAGGGCGTGGCCGCGAGGGCGCTGTGCTCGCCGTGCTGCCAGGCCGGCGGCGCCGACGCCGGGTAGGCCGGGCTGAGCTGGCACAGCGACCTCGGGGAACGTCGCCGAGCGAGCCGGGGCTGGCGGGGTGGCGGTGGCGGGGGCGACCGGGTCGATGGCGGAGCGCGCTCAGCGCGCAGCCTCCACGCCCCAGCTGACTGGCTGGCGGGCTGGCAGGGCTGGCCAGCACCCCCATTCACCGCGCCACCCCGCGCGTTTCCCGCGTAAAGCCTCCGTCTCGCTCGCACCCGCCGCGGGGGCTGCAGGCTAGTGCGAGTGCGACGGAGAGGGGATGCGCTGCGACGCCCCTCGCCCCGGCTCTAGCTCTCCGGGCCGCCCTCCCACCCTCCACCCGCCCCGCAGCGCCTCCGCGCCGCGGCCCCGCGGTGGCGCCAACCCGCGCCAGCCCGCCAGCGCGGAGTCCGGGGAGTGGGGTGAGGCTAGACCAGGCCCGGGAGGGCCCGGGACCAGGATCGATGGTCACCATGGAGACCGTACGCTACTACGCCAACCCCCTGCAGCCAGCCCCTCGCGGAGCCCCGCAGCCCCGCAGCCCCGCGCCCAGCCCGCGCCAAGCTACCCGGGCCAGGCCGCCAGGCCGCCAACCCCGCGGGGCCCCAACAAACACACAGCTGTCGCCGCAGACAGGCCGGCCAGGCTGCCGGCCAGCTTGCCCTTCCCCGGGACCAGGACGGCGCCAGCGGCGCAGCAGCGCCACCAGCATCCCCGGCGAGCCCCACCACGCCACTGCCACTCCCGGTTGAACCGATCCGGAGGCGACGACCCCGTGCGCCCCAACGGCCCCAACCCCCAAAGCGCTGCCGCCTGGCGTCGCGAGCTGCAGGGCTGCGGGGGCTGCGGGGGTGCCACGCCCAAGCCAACCCCTACCTCCGCAACCCGCAGCGCGCCAGCAGCGCCCGCGCATTATAAGAAGAGCCTGCCCGTCTCTCACTCGACATGATTGAAACCGACGCGCAAGCCTCGCACTGTTCCGCTACATTATGCAGCCGGTGCAGGCAACGTGGGAGCCAAGACGGCGTCATCCGCCAAGACGCGCGTCCGTCAGTCCGTCTGTCGGCCCGTCCAGGCAGACAGGGGCAGCGAACGGGCCGACAGCGCTCGCAAATAACGCAGGACTGCCCGTCAAGGGCCCAACTGACGGGAAGGGGCAGCGTCGGCCGGATGCGACGGGAGGGCCGCGAGGGAGCGCGTAGACCACGCCACTCTCAAGCTGGATGAGACAGCGGGCCGTCCGCCCGCCTGTCTGTCCGGACGATTGGATAGCTCAACATCACTTAAGCAAATCCGCCATGAGCGCGGGCTGCGCGGGCTGCACAGGCTGCGCGGCGGCAGACAGGACGCGAGTCCAGGACCCCCTCCTGTTGGCTAATTCAACATAATTGAGTCCCCTCCCGGCCTCCAGGCCTGCCTCCAGGCTTCCAGGCCTCCCGGTCGGAAGGACGCCGCGCCGACGACCCCGTCACCCAATCCAACAAGAGCAAAAACCGAGCGCGGCGGCGGTACTCGAACCCGGGCCGGCCCAGTCTGCACATTGACCCCGGTGCGGGCGGGACGAGGCGGGGCAGGCCGGCCCCAAGGCCTGCATTGGACCGTGTGGGGAAAAGAGGGGGGTCTATTAAAGGGCCCGGGGCCCAACGGCGGGCGGAGGGGGCAGCGCGAGCGTCTGGGTGTCTGGCCGCCACGCCGCGCCACGCCGGGCCACGCCACGCCCAGCCCGGTTCGCGAGGCGGGGGAGGGTGGGCGAGGGCCGTCTGGCTGTGGGTGCGGGGGGCGCGGAGGGGCCGCGGGCCGCGGGAGGGGCCAGGAAGGGGGAGAGGGCGCCCAGCCCAGCCCTGGCTCAGCCTGCTCAGCCTGGCTCAGCCCCTCGCAGGCACTTGCCGCCGGCTTCACCGCAGCGAACAGACCGCCATTGCCAATTTCCCCTCTGGCGACCGCCAGCACCCGAAAAGAGGTTCTTCCGACGCGAAGGGCCCCAGACGGCCAGCCAGACGGCACGGCGTGGGCCGGACGGAAGTGGCGACAGTGCGCGGACAGGGTCTCCACGTCCACGACGAGGTCCAAGCAGAAGTCGCGCCGCCGCGCCGGCCGGCAGTTGCATGCCCCGCCACCGGCCCCGCCCCAGCCACTGACCGGCACAGCGCGGGGGCCGGGGCAGGGGCGGGGGGAGCAGACATAAAGCAAGGCCAGCACAGCCAAGAGGCCAGCCGGCCGGGCAGCCAGCCAGCCCAGCCAGGCCGGCGACATGGCTGCTTGCTATTCGCCGGCCGGCATCGCGGCGTGGCGGCGAGCGGCGGGCTGCGTCCGAACCGCCGGAACGAGCAGCGAGCGCCCCGCGGAACGCCCCACGGAACGCCCGGCGGAAGAACGCCCCCACCGCCGGCGACGCCGACGACGGCAAGGATACAGCCTTGGCTACATCGGCCCCCTCCCCAACCCTTCCCCCGGCTGGCCCTGACGGCGTGCACGGCCCGGGTCCCGTCCCGGGCTCTGCCGGCTCGGCGTGGTGCTTCCCCGAACCGTCGCCGCCGCGCGCCGCGCCGCCGCTCGCTTCCCAGGCCTGCCCCAAGCGGCCGCGGCGTGGCGGAGCGTGGCGTTGCAGCGCAGGCAGTAAAGTTTAGTATAGACGGGGAACCCACCAGCAACGGCGCTCGGCCAAGAGAAGAGGGAGGGCGTCGTGCAGTCGGCGACTTGCAGTGGTGCGCGCGCACACACATTCGCTCGCTACATTGTATGGAGCGGCGGCCTAGAAACGTCCTCCCGCGGCCTGCTTTAAATAATACTAATAAAAGGAAAGGGGCGCCGTCAATCACATCGAGTCCACACGGACGCGCGCACACACACTCCGACAGGAGCACGCCGATAGAAAGCCCCATGGCCCACGCAGTGCACGCTCACGGTCTCAAAGTGCAGCGAAACGTGCCCGGCCAATTCGCCCACCCCGTCCTGCAAGCCTGCAAGCAATCTATGTGGGCCAGACTCCGCCACCAACGCCTCGACGGCTGCCTCTGCCAATGTGAGTGTGTGCCGTGGCCAGGCAGCGCGGGGCGGCGGTCGCCCGGTCACCCCGTGACCATGTTCTGCCATCTTTGGCGCCGCCTCGCCGTGCCGGGTGGGGGCCCCGCTGGGCCCCGCTAGGCCCCGCGGAGGGTGCAGCCCATAGTGCATGGTGCCACGCTAGGGGGCGCCAGGGCCGGCCCGCCCGGCCCGCCCGACTGGGGGGACCGGGGGCCCGCCACTGTTACGGCACTGCGCCGCGCTGCGCGGCCCGGACCTCAGACAATCTGCGCCGCGCCCGGCCACGCGGCCACGCCCCAGCGCTAGCTAGCTAGACGCAGCGACTCAGCCAAGCTGACCTAGCCAACAAGGCGGCGGCGAGGCGAGGCGAGATGCAGGCGAACAACAACAACATGGAGGCGACGCTTGGAACGCAGCGGCGGTCTCGGTCTCGCATGGCATTATCCGAGCCCACCGCTGGTCCTCGCCGTCACACTGTCCGCGAACAGGGAACCAGGGAACCAGGCGCCGGCAGTGGGGCACAGCAAGTCTTCTCCACGCCAGGTCGCCGCGTTGGCAGACAATTTCCTCCCGCTTGACGCCACGGCCGGGCACACTCCGCACTTCCAAGAGCCATTTTAGTCGGAACATGCGCGGCGTGGCAGCGGGACGGCGCACAGTGGAATTGCCAGAAGACCGGTGGAGGCGGCCAAAACTCTAGACGCGTTTTGAGCTCCAGAGTCGCTAAACAGGACTCGAACCAAACGTGTGATCCCACCAATGGATTCCTCGTTCGGAGTGCAATCCATTGGTGGGGTCACACGTCCGGTTCGAGTCCCATTCAGCGACTCTGGAGCTCAAAAAGCGTCTTGAGTTTGGGCCGCCTCCACCGGTCTTCTGGCCCACTGTGCGGCGGGGTGCTGCAATCGGGTCCTCACCTTGCTCAGCTTCTCGCCCTCGTGGTGCGGCAGCAGCGTCCGCAGCGACTGGAAGCCCGCGTTGATGCTCTGCATTCGCCGCCGCTCGTTCGAGTTGGCGATCTCCCGCCGCATCCTCTTCTCGTGGTCCATGTGCATGGACGGCGACCCCGCCCGGTCGCTCAGCCTGCAAACAGCAACAACAAAAATGAGCAAAGCGAGTCTTGCGGCTGGCTGGCGGGGCTGGCGGGGTTCGAACCCACACAGCCTCCTCCGCGGCCAAAAGTCGTTTCCCTTTCAACGCCGCTAATCGTCCCCGAGTGGCCCCCGTCTGGCTGCGGTGCGGGGGCCGCGGGGCAGGGGAGGGGGAGAGCATTTTCTCATCGAATTACAGGACGAGGTTTCGTTGTTCGCTCCCAAGGCCAGCAGAGCCGCAGACTGACCCACGCGAGTGGATTCGCCAGGAAACCGACGCGACGCTTTTCCTGGCTGCGCCTATCACTTTCGCCGTCTCTCTCGCACTAGTGGCGCGTCCCCGTTCAGGTGCGAGAGAGAGACGCAGCCTTCGGCGGATCGACATGCCGGCGTTATCAACGCGTTATCTGCGACAGCTGGCACCTTCCTTGTCAAAGCACGCCGCCGGCGCCAGGAAGACTCGAACCCCCACGCCGTGGCCACACCCCGCCACACCAGCCGCCCGGCAGGTAGACAGTTCCGCATGCACCAGAGCCTTGCGGGATTGCCTTCCCGGCACGGGGCTCGTGAACCTTGACTTGAAAGGCTTGACCCGAGCTGTCTCTCTCGCACCCAGGCGGGACGCTTCGTCTCCATCGCAAGTCCCCAGTCTGCCAGCAGAGCGCTTCCCGTCGCTCAGCCCTCTAGCACTCATGGGGCGAGCGACGCAAACGCCTCAACCGACTAGCCTAGTCCGGTCCGAGCGAGCGCACAGCTGTTGGCCTAAACCTGCTCGGCCCAGAACAACGCCCTGCGCTGCCCCGCACCAGCTGCCGACCCACAGCGCCGGGCAGGTGTTCCCCTTAGCTGTCTCTCTCGCACCCCTGCGGGCGCCCCACGAGTGCGAGAGAGACAGAAAGCGCTGCTTCGGAACCGGCCTGCAGCTGACCGCTCCTTGATAACAGACCGCGAGTCAGCTGACGACCTAAACCTGCCGCAGGCCGCCCTGGCTAGGCCTGGCGCTGCACAGTGGCCCGGAGGCGGCCAAATTCCCGAACGCGTGTTGAGCTCCACAGTTGCTAAATGGGACTCGAACCGAGCGTGTGACCCCACCAATGGATTGCTCTCTGAACGGGGAACCCATTGGTGGGGTCACACGTTCGGTTCGAGTTCTGTTTCGCGACTCTGGAGCTCGAAACCCGTCTTGAGTGTTGGCCGCCTCCGCCGGTCTTTCTAGCCCACTGTGCGCAGCGCTGCGGCTGGTCAGCTGACGACGCCGACCGGGCCGCACCCGGCGCCTTGCCGCCGCCACGCCGTCCTAGAAATAGCCTCCGCCGGGCGGACGGCGGACTTTACCTGGGCCGCGGCACGTAAGCCACCGCGGCACGGCACGGCACGTCGCGTCGCCACCGCAGGGCGCAAGTGGAACAAGGTCGCCCCGCGTCGCACGCCATGACCCACCCCAACCCGGCAGGCCGACGGCAGGCGGAAGACGCACAGGAAAAAAACGGCCAAAGTTACCCGCCGTTCCAACAGGCCGTCCCGCTGGGAAAAAAGAGAGGCCTGCTGGGATAAATGGACCATTAGGCGACGCTCGTCAACAACAGGCGCCGATCCCCTAGACGTCTCTCTCGCACCTGGGGCAAACGAGGTCGGCGTTATCTTGGACTTACAGCAGCTCGCGCGCTTTCGGCCTCTCCAAGCGACCAAAACACTGTCTACTCACGTCTCCAGTGTACCCACGCCGCCACGCACGCTGCCAACATCGATTGGCGGGGGAGGGGTGGGCCGTGCGCGTCACGCGCGTGCCGAGGCCCGTCACGCAACCCTACAGTGGCGTGACTGGCGCGGCCGCGGGGCAGGCAGGGGCAGGCAGCGCCGGGTCGAGGTCAAGTGTGCCTAGGGCGCGCTGTGCGGCCTGGGGAGGCAAGCCTGGTGACAAGCGCCTCATTCGCAGTGCAGGCGTAACAGCGCCTTCACCTTCGAGACCGCCTTGGGGTCCGCCTTGGGGTCCACCTTGGGATCCACCTTGGGGTCGCTGGGGATCAGCATGCACTTCACTCCCGGCCGGGTCCCTGGGGGCCGCGCCGCGCCCTGCCGCGCCCTGCCACGCCCCAGCCGAACGGGAGTAGAGCACCGGGGCGTTCACCCGGCCGCCGTGGCGGGGGTGTGGCGGGGCGCGGCGGGCACCCCACCTGGCACGGCGCCCCGACGCCGGCCTGCATACCAGCCAGCACTGCACCCCGCGACGACGGCCGCGGAAAAACCCCGGCGACGCGATGTAAGCCGTGCGCGCCGCGGCCCCGGCCGCTGTCTGGTGCTCGCCGGGTACCCACTGGTGCATACCCGTTCCCCGCAAGGCCGCGCCGGGCCGCTGTGTCAACCAGGGTCGTTCCATAATCCTGCCCTGCTCTTTCTCTCTCCCTCTCGAAACCAGTCTTCCCCCGCGGCTCCTGCGTCGGCCGATCGGCGTCCGAGATCCGCGCACCTCGAAGGCATCCTATTTGACCTTGGCGGCGCGGAAACAGTTAAAGCAACATTGCAAGCGACTGCAGTGTGTACGTCGTAGACGTCGTGCGAGGCGGCTAAGAACCGCTCGGCGCTGTCGGCCTGTCGGAAGCGCCACCTGTCGGGAGAGGCGCGAAGCGCGAAGCGGCGCGTTATGTAAGCCTGTGACGCCCGCCTGCACGCACTCACACACTCACGCACACAGCGGTGAATGTCAATCACTAACGCCGGGGGGACAATTTCCAATCAGACTCGGGGGGAGTCCACTCGGCCTCTCCCTCGCACTCACGGGGCGTGACGTCCGCGTGCGAGAGAGAGAGAGAGAGGCAGGGCGGGACTCTGACCGGACCGGGCCGACAAACGCACAGGAAGCGACGCGGCGTCATGCGGCCGGCGACGCCGAGGCCCCCGAGGACGCGAGGCGCGGCCCGGCGCGGCCAGACGCACAAGGTCGCAACCTCCAGACGGCCGGCCAGTGCATCACCGAGGAGTGGAGGCAAACCGGTGGCATCGTTGGCGTTCGTTCGTTCATTCATACGATACGCGGCGGCGCGGCGGGGCGGGGCGCGGCGGGGCCGCGTGCCGCGGAGCTCATTCAAGCGAAAGGCTAGGCCACGCCGCCGCGCCACGCCACGCCGCCGGCCGCCACAGCGATAGCGAGGCATAGCAAAGCGCGGCAGTGAAGCGAGCGGTGCGCGCGGTGCGGCGATAGCTGTACCAGTGCACCAGGCGGCACGGCACAGCCTGCCAGCATGGCCTGCCCGGCGCCTTCTTGTCGCGGTGTGTCGCGGTGCGTCGCCATGCTGTTCAAGTTGTTGTTGAAGGGACTCTGAGTGACGTCATGCAAGACACGCTGCTTGGCTGGCCCATCGACCGGCCGTCGGCGTGGCCGCGCGGGCCGCGCCCCAGAAGTGCCCCAGCGCGTCGACCCAAATCGGGGCCAGCCAATCCGAGCGCGCCGTGTCCGACTTGGCGCCAAAAGCGCGGCCCCCGATTGGCCGCCTCGGTCCGACGCCACCTGTACAGTGTGGTGGCGGCCCGGCCCGGCCGGGCCAAGCGCGAGGCGCGACCAGATGGGACCAGATGGCGCCAGATGGCGATGGCGCCGCGGCGTCGACCCACCGTCCTCGTCAGCTGATGTGCATCGCGGCACACGTCAGCTGATTCGCGGGCCCGACACCACCACACTGGCAAGCTGGTCTCGACCTAAAAGCGAGCCGCGGCCCCGTCGGCGAACACATCACTCGCCGACTGCGTCGTACCGCCTTGCCGCCGTGCCGTGGGGCCCCCCCCCCGCACGCCAGCCCCATTTTCGAGGCACGCTACGAGCTACGCCGCCACGCCGCCGCGCCGCGCTGTACTCGCTTTGTTTACGTGACGAGCTGGCTGCGCCGCGCCGCCGGGGCGGGGGGCCAAGGCTGGCTCGCCTTCAACCTGCCAAGACAGGGCCTTGCCGCCCATTTCCGAAATAAGTTGATTATACGGCCCGGGGCTTGGAACATGGAACCCCACCGCCGCGCCGCCACGTCACCGACGGCCACGCCGCCACGCCCTCCGCTCCGCTTTGGCGCCAAAACCAGAGCGCGCCAAGCAAACGACCCGCCAAAACAAAAGGCCGACCAAAATAACGCGTAATGAGGCTGGCCGGGTCGCCGAGCGGGTCGCCCACCACGTCAACGTATCTGTAACGGAGAGCCCTTCGCCAGCACGTGGGCGTGGGTCGTGGGTCCGGCCCACTCACTCAATCCGGCGACAGGGGAAAGCCCGCTCGCCTCGCACTACGTGCGGCGCCTACATGCCCCCCGACACGGACGGCACTTGGGTCTCGGCGGCGCGAGCCTAGACGAGGCCCTGACCGACATGACGCACGAGTCCGCGCGCCTTCCAGGCCTTCCAGGACCCAGGGGGTGACTCACGGTCCGCCTCTCTCGCGCCCCTGCGCGGCCTGACGGAGCCTGACGCGGCGGCCTGCGGCCCGCGAGTGCGAGAGAGGCAGCGCGATGAAATGACTGTTCGGAAGCCGCCCCGGCTCTGAGTCACTGCGACGCGGCGTTACGCGGCGCCGCCCGCCTGGGTGCTGGCTGAGCTGGCTGTCCTATCGGACGACCCAACCCGAGCCAGGATGTCGGCCAGGAGCGCGGCTTGCGACACCCCGGTGTACGGAGAAATCCGCGGCGACGGATAAGCGAACCGACAAATAAACCCTTTCGATACATCGATCGAGAGAGTTCCAGTGCGTGCCGTGTGGCGTGCGCCTTCGCGGGGAGGACAAGTTGCAGTGCAGGACCGGCCGCCCGTTTTCTCCGCGTCGCGACTCCGCCGCTGGAGCTCTGCACCGTACATGGAAACGTGTCCCGTGCACTCTCTACCCTGCTGCTGGCGCTGCGGCGCTGCGCACCTGCGGACAGCTGACCGGCCCAGCTGCGCACCTGGTGGCGGAGTGGCCGAGGGCCTGGCGCCCACCTGTCACAGCGCGGCGCCCCGCTCTGGCCGCTCTGGCCGCCC